GCCATATTGAACCACATAGTCAAATGCGGCGGTAACGCCCGGGTGAATGATCACCACAACAGGCACACGGTTACTTTCACACTGGCCCGAAACCTGGCTTACATAATAGGTAGTAGTACCCGCAACAGTGGTAACCGGAACAGGGGCTGTACTGCTGCCCGTGCCGCCGGTTGGCGTGGTATACCATTGCAGGTTGGTGCCTGTAGCGGTCAATGCCGTGGCTGTTGTCCCTTCACAATAGGTAACCGGGGAAGTAACTACCGGCAGCGCCGCAACACCCACTTCAATATTCCGGCGAATGGTATCAACCGGGCAGGTGCCATTGCTGAGGATACAACTTACGGCCTTAGTACCGGTTGTAGTCCAGCTAACGGTGGGGGCTGCCAGTGTGGAAGACACCGGTACCGCACCGCCACCAAAACTCCAGGCATAAGTGACAACAGCCCCGGCCAGGTTAGCCAGCGACATCGCTGTATTGGTATTGATGCAGGTGGTTGTATCTGCATTAAAAACAGGCGCATTCTGAAACTTAAGGCTTACATCATCGATGATCATACCCAATGTAGCTGTACCCGGTGTAGCATCGGTAAACGTAATTTTTAAGCGAACAATGCCCCCGGCGGCAGGGACGTTGATAACCGGGATACCGGTAACGGGTGTCAGGCTGAATGTGGTGTTGGTTCTGTTGAAGGTATAGTTGACCAGTGCGGCACCTACGACAGCATTAGCCGCATTCAGGCCCTCTACTTTAATATTGGTGCTGATGGAGCTTTCGGCAATGGATCGCCTCGAAGCCTTTACTTCCAGGATATAATTCAGCCCGGGCAAGATGCAGGCATTCTGGTAAAAGCAGGACTCATCATCCACCTCCGCTACAATATTGGTGGCTACGGTGCCGCCATAAGTTGTTTCCGGATACAGTGCTTCCACATTGGTACAGGCCGTGGTCCAGGCGGTAGTTGTATTGCTGAAATCTCCGTTCTGCAATAACTCCCTACCTGATTGTGCTTTGGATGATGTAACTGTTCCAAGAATAAAAACCAGCAATAACAGACGATACTTCATAAACATGATTTAATAACAAGAGGCTGCCCGAAGGCAACCTCTGCTAAGATTTTATTCCTTTACTATTTTCTGATTGATATTTATGTCCTTCCCCGTTAGCTGCAGGAAGTAAATGCCGGATGGAAGCATTTGCA